TTTATAGCGACCTTCGCACTATCACCGCGGTTAACTGTGTAGGTAGATTGCGGCGTAGGCGGGACGCTGTCAGTTAGATAGCTGGCATTTCGGTCTCTCACGGCATTCTTGTCTCTGCATTTCTAGCTCATGGGGAGGCCTGTGTAAAATGGCAAATATACCGAACGGGGCGACAGTTGACATGCTAACAGAAGGTTTGTGCCATCGGCATGTTGTAGAACAGTGGCAAACATCCGTCCTCAACGCGGGATCACAACCACCGACGTCCCTTCCAGTCCTTCAGCACGTCTCTCGTCGTTTCCTGAATATCGCGGTAAGTGACGTCCAGTATCCTTGCTGCCTTGGAAGCGTCATATGCAATCAGATGCGTCACTTGAGCAGCGTTAAGAACTGTCCTCGGAGGGGGTGTCTCTCCGGAAATTCTGCATGCAGCTGCCACTAAATGCGGGGTTGCATTCAGACAAGCGGTATTTGAGAAACGGATGGGAGTGGCCCTCACCGAAATCATTCCAGGTGAACAGTCCTGGGGTAACGATGAAGCGCTGCCCGCTCGCGGCAGGAGTCATGACTGCCCTTAATTGCGCCCCTGTGAGGTCCCGTACATCAATCCAGCAATGACTGCGCCCCCTGTGAGCCCCCAATCATGTTAGCTCGGAATTGCAGGTTACTCACTATGGCACGGGAGACATTCCTGTGGTGATTACACCACACAGAATTCGGTTCGAGTCGTTCAGGCTCGGTGGTGTACTTCCCACTTCATGTATGCAAGGCCCGAAGACCCAGGGAGGGTTGATGACGACGAGGTCCCAAGGCAGCGTCGTTTTTTGCCTCTCGTAGAAATCCCACGCACACTTCTCGGCTAGCGTCTTGCTCGCACTGTACTTGGCTATCGCGGGAGCGTCTCTCCCCATCTCCTCGACCTGCTTCACGTCCACGTCGTTCCAGCACGTCTTGTAGTACACACGGGGCTTAGTCGAACATCGGTCGACAATTGTTGCGCAGGATGGGAGGTATACAATCCGCTTAACGGACGCTCTGGGCCGAGTTGCAGAGCGCAGGAGTTCCAGTGTACCGTTAACGGCGGGATCGATGACCTCGGAGGGCTCGACGGCGTTAAGGTGTACTGGTGAAGCCGCATGTACGATGGCGTCGACGTTGAGGATCGCCTCGTCGAATGCACCTTCCTGCTCCAGTCGGTTAGCAACCGTGGTGAGTTGGTACGTTGTACAGTACCTTGGTAAAGTCTTCAACTGCGACAATCTCAAATTTATCTCCGTACTCATCAAACATGGTCTTTAGGTGTGCAGCCTTCGCGAGTGAGCGCACAGTCCCGCGTACAGAGAAACCAGCTTCGAGGAACGCCTTCGCAGTCCATGCGGCTATGAAACCGTTCACGCCCGTAATCAAGACTTTCCCTGAGACGATAGCACGCATGTTTGTTATGCAGTTATGCAGCTCGATGCCGAACCCGCAAGAAGATATGTCCTCCGGGTGAGCATGCCATTGGATGTACTTTTGTTAGCTAGCGAATGCCACTGAGGTGCTATCAGCGACATTTTTCAATGAATTGAACGCCTCCTTGTAATGCTGGCAGCGCCCCGATTGGCACATAGCTGTTTTGTGATCTAGGTGGGCGGCTGACGACACTCAAGAACGGCCCTCAGCCGTCTGTCCTGCAAGTTCACGTAACGCGGAACAAGGGGTCAGGAACAGGCTCCTAAACCAGCCGTCCACAGTGTTCTCGTTCCCAGAATGCTAGTGGCGAAGTGCAGGTTTTATCTGAGCGACAACTTTTAAGGGTTTGGTAGGGATGTACCTAAAAAGGATATGTCATAAACCGGAACTTATGTAACATGTTTCGAACGGAGGGTTGCCTAATATATCACGAACAAGGGAAGAGAACACTGTAGGACGGCTGGTTTAACTTGTCAGACGCCCGTGGAGCGCCCGCATCGGCTGGCAGTATTTTATTGAAGCGCTCAAAGAAAATCAGAGAGCTTTCCGAATATCTTTTGATCGGTTATCGACTCTCGCGCAGTGCAAGCGCTCTCGCGCGACGCGCGCGCCCCCTTCCGGCTCGTCCTACTGTCCTCACCGACACCTCTTCCTTCGCGCATCCCATTCCTTATATGTAAGAGCTTAAAATGAATATGTAAAGTTAAGTAGCTATTATACGAGGACACTGTGGCTCCATAACATGCACCGCGCGATGGGAGGACCTCAGTGGCATTCCCCAACAGCCACAGCCCCGAAGGGACTATGGTGACCTCCCACTCGTAGCATTGTACGCGCACACGAGAAATAAAAAGTCGCTACAAATTGTTCAAACATGCTTTTGTTATTTTGCTCTCGAATCGTCTTTCGCGTAGCCCCCGATTTGTATATGCAACTGGGATGGTTCGGGCTGTAAATCCGAGAAATGAGCAATCTATTGATGGGAAATGTTTTAATAACAGTGCCAAACACACCAAGGAAAGGATGAAAAGGGGCGGAGAACAGCGCGCATGGAGAATGGGATGCGCGAAGGAAGAGGTGTCGGTGAGGACAGTAGGACGAGCCGGAAGGGGGCGCGCGCGTCGCGCGAGAGCGCTTGCACTGCGCGAGAGTCGATAACCGATCAAAAGATATTCGGAAAGCTCTCTGATTTTCTTTGAGCGCTTCAATAAAATACTGCCAGCCGATGCGGGCGCTCCACGGGCGTCTGACAAGTTAAACCAGCCGTCCTACAGTGTTCTCTTCCCTTGTTCGTGATATATTAGGCAACCCTCCGTTCGAAACATGTTACATAAGTTCCGGTTTATGACATATCCTTTTTAGGTACATCCCTACCAAACCCTTAAAAGTTGTCGCTCAGATAAAACCTGCACTTCGCCACTAGCATTCTGGGAACGAGAACACTGTGGACGGCTGGTTTAGGAGCCTGGGTCAGGAACGTCTCCCAGGCCGCGATATCAGGTCGGGGGGTTCACATCCCCTCGGCCAAGGAGGTGTGGTGTCAACCTGTAATGTGTCTCCGTTGCCGCGCATGAATTTCGGGTCTAACTACACTGCTGAACAAACCTTCGCCGATGCTAGTCTACGACGTGTATAGGATGAATGGCCCGTGCTACCCAGCTCACTATGGTGCGCACCGCTGACCTTCGCAGTGTCATAAGCGAGGCAAATGATCAAATCCAATGGCCGCCTCTCCAGCTTCCCATTACGTGCTTTTTTCTACTTCTTTCCACGGCTCTAAGCGCACGCCCGGATCCTGAATAACGTAGACCAGGCGCGTATGGTCTCGTATGGTCTTACTGTCATCCGTACTGCGCATAGTCAAAAGACGAATCTGACACAACTGTAGCAGGTGAATGGATGCAGACTCGTTCATACGCTTCTTGCAGAGGCGCCGAAGGCGCTGAAAGCCTTTCATTCCGACATGAGTTAGTTGGCATCAAAATGAGCAGGCCATGGGATCATGCAACGGCGAAAGCGATATCGCTGTACCTACTTCCCCGGACGACCGCGTATCAGGAAGGGCGAGTCTTCTTCTGCCGAGCAGGAGAGCCTGTGGAGGGGGACGGCTTAAAACCTCTGAGTGCAGTGAAGGTCCTCGGTCTTCTCTCGTCTTCTCTGCCGCTCTCCCACCATAATGCCTGCAGTCACTTCAGGTCGCGTCCTCGTCACTGGAGCGAACGGGTACATCGCCGTATGGGTCGTCCGATACCTCCTTGAGCGCGGCTTCTCTGTTCGCGGGAGTGTACGTTCGAAGAGTAAAGGGACCTATCTGTCCGACTACTTCAATTCCTACGGCGACAAGTTCGAAATCGCGGTGGTCGACGATATCACGCAGGTGAGCCATCTGTCCATACGGCGTCAACACATTTTTTAAATAACCCCAACAGGAAGACGCTTTTGACGCAGCCGCAGAAGGCGTCGACGCGATCCTCCACATCGCTTCTCCTGTCATCCTCGAAGCCGGCGACCCGGATGAAGTCATCGTCCCCGCCGTCAAAGGCACCGAAAGCATCCTCAAGAGCGCGCTCAAACACCGCACCACCGTCAAGCGGGTCATCATCACCTCCTCCACCGCGTCCGTGATCACGCCGCCCGTCGTCCGCGCCGAGCCGCGCGTCTTCGACGAGCGCGACTGGAACGAGTACTCGCTCGAGCACGTCCGCGAGAAGGGCCGCGCCGCGAACGGGCTCGACAAGTACTGCGCGAGCAAGGTGCTCGCCGAGCGCGCCGGCTGGGACTTCTACACGCGCGCAAAGGCCGAGGTCGCGGCCGCCGGCGGGGGCGGGGGCGAGCTCGGGTGGGACCTCGTCACGCTCATGATGCCGTTTGTGTTTGGGCCGGCGATCCACGAGGCGCCGACGCTCGACAAGTTCAACGGGACGGCACGGACGTGGTACGACCATGTCGTCAAGGGCGACCTGTGGGGCGTGCCGGCGGATACGAACGTCTACGACGGCCGCATCGCGCTCATCGGCAACGACCCGTCGCACGGGTACGAGTTCGTCGACGTGCGTGACTTTGCGGAGAGCGAGGTGCTTTCGCTGGTCACTCCCGCCGCGGGGGACGAGCGGTTGATCATCAGCGGGCCGACGTATACCTGGCAGGAATTCAGTGCGTTTGCATGCTTGGTGTTGTAGATCCAGCCCACTGACGCTCTGTTACAGCGGACGCTGCGCGGCGGTACTCCGACAAGATACCTGCGATAGATACGCCGTACACGGATGTATCCTCGCTAAAATATCCTGTGAGATACAACTGTGAGAAGGCACAACGGATTTTGGGTGTCAAGAGCCGCAGCCTCGAGGAGAGTACGAAAGACAGCCTGGAGGACTTCAAGGCTAGGGGATGGGTGTGAGGGTTGAACATTCCCTTTCATCAACCGAATACGATTCCAAAGTGTATGGCGCACTGGTGGACACTGTACAATATCGTCTTGTGTCTGTTGCATATCTGTTTTTACTCTGTGAATCCACACATTCAGTTGGCGGGCATTAAAGAACCGCGGCGCTATAGTGTAGTGGTTATCACTTGGGATTCTGAAACAACTTTCCCAAAACCCAGGTTCGAGCCCTGGTAGCGCCTTCCTGGTGAGTCTTGTACCATTTTTAAACGAGGCGGACAGGACTTGATTTTTGCAAAGCGAACAGACCAGTTTCGCAAAGGCTCGGAATACTGGCAAACCACATGCCTTATATGAAGCCAGAATATCGCACCGGCCATCTACGCCACGCCAAGGTACACCACCAAGCGATATCCATGGACACGGTAGAACACGCGTCTCGATTCATATGCACGCCGGAGCACAGGGGCGTAGAGCAAAAAAGACAATACGATGTGCGGAGGCCGTGTGTGGCTAATATACAGATGAGCAGTGTACGATTTGTTGGACATCGGACAACACCCGCGCGCCTCCCAAGGCTACAGACGGCCCTTGGAGCGTAACGCCAAGGGGGAATGAGTTGAAACAACAGTCGACGAGATCTGGAGAGTGTGGCCCGGGGTGAACAACGGACAGGGGGTGGCAAGGCGGCTGCCGGCCGGCGAGACGTCTGTCGGAACGAGTGGTCGTCCGTGCCCGTGGAGAACGGGGATCTAGACAAGCGCGTAGGTAGAGCGCGCGGGGCGCCTAACGCGGATCTCGTTCTTGTTGATGTCGATGTCGATAACAAACCGGGATGGAGAGGCGCGCAGGGGCGAGCGTTACGGGGGCGTGAAGGGTCGTGAAGGAAGCACGGGAGGCAAAATGGAGAAGACGGGCGCGGGAGGCAGAAGGCGGGAGAAGAACGGAGATTCATTCCGTAGTCCGAGCATTAAGGGCCTGCGGTACTCAAGAGCGTACGCTGTTGGGCAGCAGGTGGTCCGTCGGGTATAAGGTACGCTAAAGGTTGCCGTGAAATGGAAATGGAAAACGCTAGGATGGAGGGTAGCAGGTCGCCGGAGTAGAAGGGAGGTTGGAGCTATAGCACCCGACGTAGCTGGTGGTTGACGTCAGGGCAGTCGGGGGTAAAAATTTGCAGAAGCTCAATCATAGTGCAAAACTTAATAGGGGCGGAGATGTGCTCTGCCCTCACCAAGCTGCCCTGTTAATTCAGTCAGCCTTGGCATCCTTTGATGGACGAGACACAACCTACCGTTTGTACCATGGACAAGCGCTTAGCAAATAATGCATGAGCTGCAACATCCGGCACTCTCCTCGCTCGTGCCTTCTCCCGAAGCACGGGCCTGGCCCCCGGCGTTCCTCCTTTTCTTCTTCGGTACATCCTCAGAAGGGGGAGCATATGGCCGCACGGAGAGGTGGACGATAGTCGCGGAAGGCGCCGAGGAGGGCATTTGTGTGGGGAAGGATAGTTCTGTAAAACACGCCGGTCAATCAATGGAAGCCCTGACAAACAGGCACGCAACGTACTGTCAAGCGAGTCCTCGTCTTGCAAAATCTTCCCAAGGTACAATATTCTGAGATACGAAGGCGCCGGCGGCCTTTCATCTTGCCAGTCTGCGATGCATGGAAAACGCGTCAGGAAAATAATCTTGACGCAGCGCACCGAAGCGTCATTGGAGCTTCCGCTTCCAACTTAAAAGCCCCGAGCGCCCAAGTGGCAGAGCAGCGGGGAGGCTCACCGTTAGGCCAGGCGTTCCACACGAGCTCTTTCACTCTCCCGACCGTTGTCTCTGGTTCAAAGGACATGGTCCGCCGACGGCCGGTGACGAGCAGGAAGGTTAAATGGACTTGAGGTGTCTGCGGGATCGTCTCCTCTGCCAACTGCGCACCGATGGCACCGGCCTCGTCATCGCGCTCCTCGCCGTCTCCGTCCTCCACCTCTCCCGTAAAATCTCTCCTAGGGGTGTTCGCACCCGTCCCGCCTGTGAAGTCTACCCGAGTGTAGGATGTGCGCGCAGAGGGGCAGAGGGGTGAGAAGGCATCGATGCGCGCATGAAGGGCGTGCTCGATTGAAGCCGGGCGAGGGAGCTGCGAGGACGGCGGGGCCTCTGGGCTGAGGTGAGGTGCGGAAGACGAAGACGAGGGCCGCACGTCGGTCATGGCAGAGGGCGTGGGGGAAAATGTCGCGAGAGCGAGGGCGCGATGTGGAGGTATATATGGCGGGGCGTTTAGACGAGAACGTGGGAGGTTCGCGTAGCTTGCGTTCTCGATCAGGGAAGGAGGATGGAAGGATGTCCCGGAAGCGTGGAGGGGCTGTCCGCTTAAAGGAGTGCGGCGAGCTGGTGGGGCGTGCGCGGTCGGGTGGGCGAGGGCGTTGAGGGCGTTGTGGTCTTTGAGGCTCCGCGGACGCTGTATGAGGGCGAGAAGGCGGGGCGCAATTTAGCGTCAGGAATCAGGTGGGGAGTGTTCGTGTGACCGTTTACCCCGCTTTCGGCAATCTGCGCGGGGTGGATGACGATGGCTGGTAGCACGTTCCGGGGAGCGGGGCTCGAGACGGGCGTGCAGAGGGTCGAGGAGGACGGTGGAAGGGGAGAAAGTCGGAGGCGAGAGGGCTGAGGAGAGATGGAGGTACTTATAGCGGAGGACGAGAAGGCCAAGGGCGCGTTTGCAGCAGATCGCGCGGTCCCGATCTAGAACGGGCGTCTGCGCGCGCTCTGCGTTTGGTCGCGTCCTGCGATGCTCCGGCGGTCCAGGGCTGGCTCGAGCTCCCCCTCCCGGCTCTCCCCTCCTTTCTCCCTCTTCCTCCCGCACGCGCGAGCACGAGGTCGCGCGGGTATGATCTCGCGCCGTCGTCATTGGACGAAAGGAACGCCAGGGCTCTAGACGTCCTTCGAGGACCTACCTGAATCGTCTCCTTCTTGCGAGGACTGGACGGGCCAAGGCCGGCACCTGCCGGCGCTATCCCATGCGCCATGGCCATACACCACCGGCAACCCGTTCCGACGCCCTTGCTTCAAACTATACCGAGCTCATCTATGGACGGCTCTCTACGGGGAAAGCATACAAAAAATGGGTATACATCATCCAAGTCCTCCGCAGGCTCGGACGGCCGCTACACACGTGTGCGGATCATCGAATATGGACATGCACTATCCATTACTGCGTTCTCTTCCCCGTTCCGTGGGCACGGTCCCGCCGTGGCCAGAAACCCGGACCAAAAACAGTCAAGCCGCACTCAGTGTCTGGGAATAGTTCCTGGCACTGTAGCATCCCCTGGGAGTTTACAGCGGAAGGCGGCAGTCGTGGGTGGACGAGAGGACACGGAGAGAAGCCGGAGACGGTGGGCACGGCCGACCCGGCAGAGCGGTTCGCACGATCGCGATAGCATCAATCCCCCGACGGTGACGCCAACGGCGACTCGTATAAGAGTCCTCCCTCCTTCGACACCCACTACCATCTCTCTCGCTTCTTGTATCATAATCCACGACAATCATGAGCGGGAAGCTGGCTACTGGTGAGTCCGCAATTTTGTCGTAGCCGAGATTGGGTATGCGAGAGGCGGGAGATTAGCCGAGTTGGGGCTTAAGGCGGATCAGGAGGTGTTATTACGCCCAGTGTCCTCGGTGCTCGCGTACGCGGCTATATTACAAGTGCTATGGAGCGCCGCAGACACGAGGATATATATGCACCCATGTCTCAACAACAATACTCGTATGTACGTGATACAGCCAGGCACACATCCCCACCACAGCTACCCACCTATTGCTACGCCGTTACCTTTCGCATAGAATGGAGGATAGTTAGGTTACCGAGGTTATTCGCCACTGTTCTGCCGTTCCCTGTCGCCTCGAAATTCTGCCGGTGCTGATACCCCCCCCCAGAATACTCGGCCTGGAAGAAGCTCCAGGAGACCTACGACACACAACATGAGAAGCTCGTTCTCCGGGACCTTTTCGCGCAGGATCCCGAGCGGTTCAAGAAGTTTAGCCGCGAATATGTTTCGGAAGAGCCCTCTGCGCGCCTCTTGCTCGACTTCTCCAAGAACCTGATCACCGAGCCGATCCTTGCGACGCTCCTCGATCTCGTTCGCGAGGCGCAGGTCGAGACGTTCCGGGACAAGATGTTCGCAGGCGAGCACATCAACACCTCCGAGGACCGTGCCGTTCTCCACGTCGCGCTGCGGAACTTTGATGAGTTCAAGATCAGCGAGGCGGGCGTCGACGAGGTTAGCAAGGTCCTCGCGCACATCAAGGAGTTCACCGAGGCCGTCCGCAGCGGCGCCTGGAAGGGTTACACCGGCAAGACCATCAACACGATCGTCAACATCGGTATTGGTGGCTCTGACCTCGGCCCCGTCATGGTCACCGAGGCGCTGAAGCCCTACGCCAAGCGCGACCTGACCGCTCACTTCGTCTCCAACATCGACGGTACCCACCTCGCGGAGACACTCCGAGAGAGCGACCCCGAGCGGACGCTGTTCATCATTGCGAGCAAGACGTTCACGACACAGGAGACGATCACGAACGCGGAGAGCGCGCGGGATTGGTTCCTTGCATCGGCGAAGGATAAGGCGCACGTCGCGAAGCACTTCGTCGCCCTGAGCACGAACACCAAGGCCGTGACCGAGTTCGGCATCGCGGAGCAGAACATGTTCCAGTTCTGGGACTGGGTCGGCGGCCGCTACTCCCTCTGGAGCGCCATCGGCCTCTCGATCGCCCTCGTCATCGGCTACGACAACTTCGAGCAGCTCCTCCGCGGCGCGCACGCGATGGACAAGCACTTCAAGACGGCGCCCCTCGAGCAGAACTTGCCCGTCCTGCTTGCGGTCCTCGGCATCTGGTACAACGACTTCTACGGCGCGCAGACGCACGCGCTCCTCCCGTACGACCAGTACCTGCACAAGTTCGCGGACTACTTCCAGCAGGGCGACATGGAGTCGAACGGCAAATCGATCACCAAGGACGGACGGCGCGTGAACTACCAGACCGGCGTAAGCGCTCTGTAGCAGTTGCATTGTAGAGAACTCGAGCTGACTTTGTTTATAGCCCATCATCTGGGGTGCCGCCGGTACGAACGGCCAGCACTCGTTCTACCAGCTCGTGCACCAGGGCACGAAGCTCATTCCCGCCGACTTCCTCGCGCCCGCGACGACGCACAACCCGATCGCCAACTCGAAGCACCACCGCATCCTGCTCAGCAACTT